AACTAGTATATTCCTTTAAAATCTTATGTTATTCTGTGTTAAGTCTGAACACAAACATGTGCAAACTAGCTTGACATGTTTTTAATGTATTGCAGTGTTTCACTCAGCTGGTTTTTGCCTATCTCAGTCTTATTTAAGTTTTGCTGTCTAAACTATGATGTCATAGCATAATTTGTTTGGTTTTGTTAACCCAAAACTTAACATGTCTTGCTAATGGTAAAAACTGGCTCTTTTCCTCCGCTTTTCCAGAAGGGACTTTCAACTAACAGGTACTTGAGAATGGGGTTGCATAGGTTTCTTCTTGCTGCAGGTGAAGCTTGCTTTACACAAATGGGTTAAATATTAAGTGAAATGTGCATGCATTATTGGATCAGGGACTAGACTGCAGTACCTGTTTCCCTAGTAGTGAGTATGCGAGTTTGCAGGTATTGTGGTGTTTGTTGTGTGTCTTTTTTTCCTGGCTGAGAAAATCTGTAAGTATTCTTGTGAGATGGTCCATTTCAGATGGAGGTCCTGAAGGTGGGGCCCTAATGGTAGTGCTTTCTCTTGAGGTTGGAGAGCCAGGATTTGAGGCCCCCCTTTCCATACTTCCCTTGTTCAGTGATTACAGCATTCAGTCACTTTAAGGGAAGGAGGAAGCGATGCATCATCATGGGAAGGCTTAGATCTAGTAAGACCTGCCTTGCCTGTTAAATTGAGTCTCATAAGCAAGCTTGTGTTTAGTGTCCAGAATACTGTATGCAATTTTGGACCCACAGTATGAGAAAGATATTGATAAACTGGTATGAATTCAGCAGAGAGCCACCCAGATGTTAGGGATGGGAGCAGCTGCCCTATATGGGTGGAAGAGCTGAGGGAATGGAGCTTGTTCAGCCTGGAGGAGGACAGTTTGGGGGCAACCTAGCAGCATTTTGCAGTGCATAAAGGAGGTTATTGAGAAGATGGACCCAGGCTTTTCACAGCAGTGCATGGCAGGAAGATAAGAGGCAAAGGGCTTCAACTGAAACAAGAAGGTCAGACAGGATATAAGGAAAATCTTTTCCATGTGAAGACAGTCAAACAGAGGAAAAGGCTGACCCAGGGAAGGCTGTCCTGTCTTCAGCCTTGGACATTTTCAAGATCTCAATCTTCTGGGCTGTGTCTGACTTGATTGCTGATCCTGCTGTGAGCCGTGAGGTCAGATTAGAGACCTCCTGAGTTTGATTGCAACCAGCATTATTCTATGGCTCTTAATTCTCCTGAATGCCTGTCAGGACTGACTGAGACAACTCTGTGAGGCCATGTTGGGAACCTGTAGCCTAGAAGTATCTGATGGAACAGGGCAATAGAATCAACACTTGGACTTCTGTAAAGGACTTCTGAAGTCCTTTCAGTAATCTAATTCCAATTCAACAACAACAAGCTTTCTTTTAGGAAAGAATGTGATTTAGGGCTTGTGGGCTTGGAGATGGTGTTTTGAAAAGATCTACTGAAGAGTTAATCTCCATATAGATGTTCTGTTTCAGAGTATTCCTGGAATAACCAGTGTGTTCACTCTGAGCTTTTTAGTATTCTGAAATAATAGTTTCAGGTTGTCTTTTCGCTTTTTCTATACACTGCCCCAACCCAACTGCCACCATTCTGAAATACTTACCTTATTTAACTATAAATGATTCTCATTTTCCATGTGTACAAAAGCTGACAGTATCTGTAGTTTGAAAACATAGGCTATGTAATTTATAGTGTTAGAAGACTTTCTCCAAAGACTTCAGTAATTATCTAAGCAGTTTGGAATGCCTGGTGTTTATAATTAAAATAATGAAAGTTTTGAAAACTAAGAACAGGGTTTATGTGGGAAAACATTCCCTATTATGTTAAGTACAATGACCCCTGGTATCTCAGGATTGAGTCCCATTCAGACATACTAAAGATGGGGGAACTGGATCTCAGATATGATGTCAGATTTCCATTGAAGTTGATGACTTTTCATTTGGCCATGGCATTCTAAATGCTGTATGTAATTATTTTTCCCCCCCAAACATAGCTGTTTCAAACACTCGTGCAAATGAGAGTTGATTTCCTTGCTAAACAGTCACTTAACCTTGGTGAAGTTTTGCAATTGGAACACTAGTGTCTCTTTTTTTTTTTTACTATTGATATATAGAGGCTCTTTGAGTAGCTTTTAGCTACTGTCCTTTTGAAAATTTCATGGTTATAAAAATGCATGTGGCTGTTTGCCTTTGGCCACCAAGTCCATTAAGGAACCAAAATGTGTGCCGTGTGCCTCAGAGCAGGTATTTCTATTTCAGCCCACTCTGTCTAATGAAAAGCATCCTTTTATTTCACGTTTCTGGAGCTGCTAGTGTCACTCCTCATTAGCAGTAGGATCAGTAGGATCAATTTGTAGGCATAATGCAGACTCTTACTACCTTTAACAATTACTTTTATATAGCTTAGGTGATCACTTTTTGTGAGTTTGTCTTCAAAGAGATGAAATAAAGCGTTTCTGCAGCCTTTTCTCCTGGGGATTCAGCTAAAGGCATAGTGGTTGTCTGTGGTCTTTGTCAGTGTAGTTATTGGGAAGAAAATGAGACGATATCAGTAAAAGACAATGAAGATCCGGGAGTTTGGGAGTTACTACCAGATGAACTTGGCTATTCTATTCACTCTTTGAATAGTTGGGCACAAGCTGGAAATTCCACCAGGCTCATATAACTTCAGTGAAAGTCTTTCTCATTTTGTTACCTAAGCAGAGTAATACAGTGATATTTCTTTGCTTCCTAAGAATACCCTGGAATAGTGCATTACAGGAAAACGGCTATAATGGAGTAAAGTTCAAATGGACTTAACTTTATTTAACTCTGATTTTTCAAACTATGAGAAAGAGCATATGGTGAAAGGGTTTTTTTTTGCCACAGCTCCAGCACTCAAATTTGAACTCATTTCTTTAGTGAAACAGGAACTTAAACATTTTTCATGTACAAATTTTGCTTTTCTGTTCATATTGCTTGAATCAGGAGTAACTTTTAACTTAGTGAAGAAAAAGGTTGAAACTAATAGTGGAAACTCCCCTTTTGATTCAAAGGAGTAGGATTTGGGTTTGGCTGAAGATCATTTTAGCTCTGCTTTACTCATGGCAGTAAGCTGATTTTCAGAAGTGGCCAGAAACTGTGTGCCATAGCCGCCTCTTTGGTTATATTCACCATTTTTCATGTGCAAGGTATGATTTGAGAAGGTATGATTTGAGCTTGCTTTTTGTTATCTCACTACAGAAGTTTCAGTGCGCTGGTTGAAGGACTATAAATTTGACCTGAGTGGGTCTGGTGCTTGTATGTGTAATACATATTGTACTGGATGTAGTGAGAAACTGATGAGATGCTGAATTAATAAGATACTGGCTGTGTTTCATAAGGGTTTTACTTTGTGATTACTGAAGCCAAGGAAGAAGTGGGGGGAATTTTATGGTATAAATTGCAACTGATACAAGACATCAAGATGTCTTGTCTTGCCCTTTCTGACACCCTGGAAGAATGCATTCTGTGTGAGAAACAGACATGCAGCCCAGTGTATCTTCTTCCATGCAGTCCCTACTGACCATGCTAAGATTTCATTCAAGTAGCTTGAAATTGGGCTGCATGGTATATTTTATTCTGTTTTAAGCCAGATCTGCATGCACATTCACAGTGTTGCTGGTGTTGAATTATGCACTTGAAAGGTGCTTGACTTCCATCCTTTGCCCCTTGCCTTCCCCTTCCCTTCTTAGAGCCACAGAAAAAGTGGTATTTTGGGCAGCTAGAATGGACAAGACAGTAGCAAACCAGTTCCTTCTTGTAAGAAACAGCTGCTTTTAGCCTGGCCTAGCAGACAGAAGTTTCCCTGTTCCTTGTTCCCTTCGTGGAGGACAGGATTAAGTTTTGATAGTTTCCTGTTTGTTTTCTTTCTGTTTTCTGTGCTCTTTTTTGCTTAAGATGTCTGTAGCATCTTAAAGCTTGACTTACGGTTGGATCAGATACTCCTTTGGCTATCTTGGGTTTATGGATTATATCTGGGTAAAGTATAATTAATGATCAAGTAAGGGAAATAACCCCAGCTGTTGCTGAAATGAATAGCTGATACTGAACTGTAAGAATGTGACGTAACTGTGAGAATGCAGACATCCAAAATTATCTCAGGGTCAGAAAATGAGTAAATGAGAAGTAGGTTGGGAAAGATGTTAACATAAGATTTTTGAGAGAAGAATTTACAACACATTTCTAAGATGGTTGGGACTTGAGCATGAGTAGTGGAGAATGACTAATATGTTAAGAATTGGATATGTACTTTTGGGAAGCTATAGCTGCAGTGATCTGTGCTAGCTGTGTACAAATACAGTGGGAACCTATACAACTGTGAAAATGCAGGCAGGAAATTGCATTTAATTTGGGCAGTGTCGTTAATGTGTTAATCAGGAAAGAGGGAGACTTGGAGAATGGAAAGATGAAGAAGAGGTTGAATTGTTCCTCTTATGTTATGCCTCTTGGAGGTCTCCTGTATATATATTGCTTGGCAGAATGATGTGTTAAGTGCCCAAGTGTACAAATGGAGTGGTATTTAAATGAGTGGAAAGAATGTATTTGCAACAATGGAAAAGGTAAACTTTAAACAGGTAACACTAAGATAAAACTGGAGAGTAATCTGCCAAGATAAAAAGGTAATAAATACCACTGTAACTTGGAAAACAGAAGATGGAAGACTTGGTCAAAAGTGAAATAGGAATAAGTGTCAGACTGCTACAGAGCAAGTGAATACATCTTTAGAAGTCTTGGTTTTTTTAGTGTGTACGATGGAAGAATGACTATTGAAAGCTGCATTTGATGAAAAGCGTAAATAGGTGGCTTAGCGGTTTAGCTGTTAAAATAAATCTAAGAGCATTAGTCTGTTCTTTTTGCACAATAGTGCTTTAGTGATGAAGTCTAGTATTAATAGCTTTTTCATTAACTGTAACAGTTGGATACCTTACTTTCTGACTCTTGCAGGTGCCTTCGCATGCAAGATGGTACCGTTTGTTCAATCCACTGCTATTGTAACCGAGATTCTTACAATGACCTGCATTGCTGTGGAAAGACATCAGGGAATTGTGCATCCACTAAAAATGAAGTGGCAGTACACCAATAAAAGAGCTTTCACGATGCTTGGTAAGATTTTAGGCATCTCCAGTAATCGTGTGTATAGAGAAATAATCTTCAGCATAGCTGGTGCAGATGGCGTGACAGAACAAAAGACAGAACAGAACATGTTGACTGATGTATACCTTCTATAGAGAACTTTGTTCTTTATTTAAATTGTCTACTTTGCCTGACTCTTTAAAGTTGAAGCTCTTAAACTGTTTGTACCAAAACTTATGCTGCTTGTTGTACAAAGTGTTAAAAAGTGTATTTCTTTACAGGGATCGTCTGGTTGCTGGCTCTTATTGTTGGGTCACCTATGTGGCATGTGCAACGGCTTGAGGTATGTTAGGTGAAATGGGAATTTACATTTTAAACTCAGTCCTTGCTGAATCTCTTTGTGCCTTTAGCAATGAAATGAAATAAAACCCTAAGAAATGACAATGGGATAAGAGAAGTGGAGATTTTGTTCTGTGTGCCAGTATGAGAAAGCCTAAGGATTAAGATTTACATGCGCTGGAAGGACTACCAGCAGGGACTAGTCATGTCTACCCTCCCCAACTGTGTCAGTGAGCTGTAATTACATCTGTGATTTCCACTGTGGCTTCCTTTTGATTTATAGGTGTGCTGGCACACAGCAGTATAGTGCTTAGATACTGTTTCAGGATGACACAATGTTCCCTGACATTTGGAAGAACTGCGCCTAGTTTAAAATATAACTAGCTTCCCATTATAGTTTAAGGAGATACTGTACACTTTTGGAGGGCAAAAAAAAAAAGGCTTGTCAGAATCTGCTGCTTTTAAGTCTGAATGTTAACAATTTTTTTTTTTAAAGTAACTAATATATGAGGTTTCTATACACCCATCTTTGCTTGCAAAATGCGTAGCCAAGGTCTCCTTTGAAAATCCTTGTTAAAAAAAAAAAATAGTTCTAAGGAGGAATGCAAATCAGAGCATCTCTTGACCTCTCTTTGTCAATTTGGATCAACCCAATACTTGATGTGGAAAAATGCTTGGAAGAATTTTGTCACTTTGCAAAGTCTCTGTTGAATTTTCGTTGTTGTATTAAGAGCAAGGAATATTTGAATGTACTTGGGGTAAACGCTGTAGTGACTCATATCCTTTACACTTGTTACAGGTTAAATATGACTTTCTATATGAAAAAGTGTATGTATGTTGCTTGGAAGAGTGGGCCAGTCCGATTTATCAGAAGATATATACGACCTTTATTCTTGTTATACTCTTCCTTCTTCCACTGATGTTGATGCTTTTTTTGTACACTAAAATTGGCTATGAACTCTGGATTAAGAAACGAGTGGGAGATGCTTCAGTTCTTCAAACCATTCATGGGAGTGAAATGTCTAAAATATCAAGGTTTGTGAAGTAAAATACAGTTGGAACTTTGACTTCTAGAAAGCTTTTTTTTTTTTTTGAAAACCAGTGGGGGGGGAATCTATCTTTCCTTATCCGTTGGGATATCTAGAAGCATAAACCAGATTTTTAAAGCTAGCTAGTTATTTAACACTTGGATACCCAATGTAAGGCAGCTTAAACATATTGTTTTCTTCAAAGAATAGTGTTGCCACACCTTGGAAATCAAGCCCTTTCAATAAATCTCATATTATGCATTGTGAAATGCTTGTTTTTAAAAGATGTAGGCCATGAGTTAGAAGATGACAGGGAAAACGCTGCTACGTTATTTCCATATGGTCTATGGTAAGTTCTTTATGTAATTCGGAGACTGTGAACTGTGAAATGATCCTATTATGAGTTAAATTGGCATATGGGAAAAAATCAGAATTAATTTATAAACTACTTCAGTACAGTTTAACTTTATACAGCTTCCAAAGAGTTTTGAGTGTTTTCAGATGTGTTTGTATGAGACTATCTAGATGGTAATGCTCTATCTGAAAAGTTACGAAAATCAGTAAGTACAAACTTTGCTATTTGTCACTAAATATGAGCTACCCTTAATATTACTTCATGTTTTTTTGTTTCATTTGGCAAATTGATCTATTGCGTGATGTGCTAGCAACCTCCAACAGTTCTGCTCATTGAGGAAAGTATCAACTGTAAGGAGACTACCAATGAACAGCTTAAAGATAAATGATTCCTTCAATATTTGTGTAAAAATGCACTTAAGGAAGTGGACCCTTGTAAGTCAGAACTGAAAGAGGATGCAATCTCGCAGGAATTAAGGTGACATGTAATCTTCGGGCTACTCCTCAGTTTATTTTCACAGAGTGGGGAGAAGTTCCTGTAACAGCTACTGGTGAAGTGCTGCTGCTTTAGCTCGAGTGAGACATCCTTCTTGGGATCTACAAATGTAGTTATATGAATTATTTATCAGTTTGGGGATAATGATAAGTTCATGTATACCTTGAGTTCGTGAGATATTATAGTGGAGGCAGGCAGTGTGCTTCTTGCTCTTATTCTAGCACTTCACTTACCAGCAAAGGAGCAAAGGTTGAACATTGCAGGTTTAGTTTCACTTACACCCTGTCAAATTCTCTGTGGAATCAGGTGCTGTGGGTATGGTCAGTGCTCCCAGATCTAGGAAGGGACTCTTGTTTTTTGAGCTATTAATGGAATTTCATGTGGTCTGCCTTCCCGCCGCCTCCCCCCCCCCCCCCCCACCCCCGCCACCATCTCTTACTGTTGGAATTGCATCTGCTTGAATAGAGTGAAAATACCGTGCAAGATATGTTAATGTCATTGGTTGCTGCAGCTGCAAAGTGTGTTGTTTTCCCAAAAAAGAGAACTAAAAGATGTTAATTGATGTACTAGATTTATATGATGCTACATTTTTTGTTTCAAGGGGAGTTGTGTACTTCTGAGCATTCTTCCAGGGTCTTGTTTGCATCTGCAACCATCAGAACATACTTACAGATCTAACTTGAAGAGACATACTTAACTACTAGTCAATTTTTAGTGATTCAGTATGGAATGTCTTGATGCAATTTCAGGAAGAAGAAGCGAGCAATTGTTATGATGGTGACAGTGGTGTTTCTCTTTGCAGTCTGTTGGGCCCCTTTCCATGTAATTCACATGATGATAGAATACAGTGAGTATCTGCCGTTTGTCATACAATAAAGCCTTCCTTTTTTTATTTTCAGTAATGGAACTACAGGTTGTGAAAAGCTAGTGCTGCTGCAGCATTCAGCTATAGAATACCTTCTGCTAGCAAAAGTTAATGTTGTGCTTATAAATCCTGGATCACTGTCTTGTAATAGAGATACATAGTCAACAACAGATGAATTACTCTTAAGAGAGTACAAGTGATTGGCAGATCTGAAGTGCTCATGGGAAACGAATACATTTCAAAAACCCTATTATCATAGAATCATTTAGGTTGGAAAGGACCTTTAATGTAGTGTTTGGAGATACCTTGTATCTGAGGACTTGTGTGACAGCTACATCTCTTTTTCCCTGCTGTGTGAATTAAAAAAAAAAAAAAAAAAGATATTTGTGTCTTGCTGTAAATCCTACTGAACTTTGTTGTAGGGTGGGTGGGAGGGAACCCAAAATCTCTACCAGCTCTTTTAGAATGTAAGCCCTTCAGAAGGGAGATTGTAATTTCTTCTGAATTTGTACAGCACATAATCCAGTCACAGAATCACAGAATTGCTAGGTTGGAAAGGACCTTCAAGATCATCAAGTCCAACCATTAATCCAGCGCCACCATGTTCCCTAAACCATGTCCTGAAGTGCCACATCCACACGTTTTTTGAACGCTTCCGGAGATGGCGACTCCACCACCTCCCTGGGCAGCCTGTTCCAATGCTTGACCACTCTCTCAGTAAAGACATTTTTCCTAATATCCAATCTAAACCTCCCCTGGCGCAACTTGAGGCTATTTCCTCTTGTCCTATCACTGGTTACTTGGGAGAAGAGGCCAACACCCTCGTCGCCACAACCCCCTTTCAGGTAGTTGTAGAGAGCGATAAGGTCTCCCCTGAGCCTCCTCTTCTCCAGACTAAACCACCCCAGTTCCCTCAGCTGCTCCTCATAAGACTTGTGCTCCAGTCCTGAAAAGGAGGTTGTTAGGCCTTACAAGACTCAAAAAGCAAGACCTGACTGTTAGGATTTTGAGCATATCTCTGTAGATTCTTTCTATTTCTATGGCTATCATGCTACCTTCATTTGCTGAAAGGTCAAAAGTACCTGGCTGGAAGGTAAAAGATATTTCCAAGTATAAAACCTCTTGAACAAGTAAACTTTGAATTCAAATTTAATTTTAATTTAAGGGTGAAGACTTCTATTTGCATCCACTTAAGTTGTCATACTGCTGGTAGTTAAACTGTTATGAAATATTTACCCCATCACTTGCCCTGGTTTTAACGAGGTAGGTATATTGGAAATATAAATACTGGGCATCATAGTGATAATACCCAATGAATCCAGTTGTATTTTTTTCAGTGCTCTCAACTGAATACTAGCCTGGAAATGCCCTCAGTGCTTGTTATTTTTGCTTTTTGCTATTTGCCCTGTTCTTGCACTTTTCATCTCCCATCTCTTGCCTGGGTACTGGGATAGCCTGTGAGACTATGCAGCAAGTTATGTGTAGGAACAAGGGGAAGTTGTCAGTAGTAGTTGTACTCTGCATGCCAAAGGCAGCAGCTGTTTCTGTGTCTACTGTCACAAATAAGGTGGTAGCAGGTAAATCAGTAGTCATGCAGCCAGTCAGCTGAAGGAAATGATGTTTTTGCCTGGGCAGAATCAGAAGTGCAGAAGCTGTGACTATTAAGATTGTCTGGATTGCCCCATGTTAAGGTTGCTTATAAGACTGAATTGTTTGCTCCCTTTTCATCACTAATTTCAGAAATTACTTCAAGTGCTGCAAGGACTTTATTTTACTTGACGTATAAACCTTTGTAGTATTTATACAGAGTTTGGTCACTGAGTATTTGAATTCAAGGAATTCAGAGTCCTCCGTGATCTCAGTGGTTAAAAAGTGACAGATGTGACCAAGAAGGTGTATTTTTATGTCCATGGCCTGGTCTGTGTCAGCACAAAGAAGGCCTGTGTGGTCAGTGACAAGACATGGATTGGCGTTAATACACATTTGATACAGACATGAAAATTAGAGCCAGAAGAACAACTCCAATAAACAAGGCTTGTATTTAGCAGGCTGGAACCTTTCTGTTGCTTGGCCATTGGACAAGTTTTTTGGCTCAAAAATTGCCTCTTTTGAATGACTCTGTCCGTATTTACATATACACAGAGCAGGGCTATGTGGTAGATCTTGATCTTCCCTTGCTGATGAAATCCTGTTGCTGATATTAAGAACCTCCAGCAAGGTCTTTTGTTGATTTTTAAACAAAAGCTTCTAAGGCCAGACGGGATGTAAACAGGCTAAGAAGTAGGCATTTGTGCCATTCCTTGCTTAAAGCATATTTCCTTTTTCCTTTCCAGGTAATTTTGAAAAGGAGTATGATGATGTGACAGTCAAAATGATCTTTGCAATCGTCCAGATTATAGGATTCTTCAATTCTATTTGTAACCCTATTGTGTATGCTTTCATGAATGAAAACTTCAAGAAAAATTTTTTGTCTGCCATCTGCTTCTGCATTGTCAAAGAAAATTCATCACCAACCAGGCAACTTGGGAACTCGGGGATTACTATGAGGCTGCAAAAGGCAAGCGTTTCTCAAAGAGACCCCATTGACTCGGACGAAGCCAGGAGGGAGGCATTCAGCGATGGCAACATTGAAGTCAAGTTCTGTGATCAGCCAGCTTCAAAAAGGAATTTGAAACGGCACCTTGCCTTATTCAGTTCTGAGCTTACTGTGCATTCTGCATTAGGAAATGGACAGTAGCATCACAAAGGTTTTGAGAATGGGAGCAACACTCTCTTCATATGATAACTTTGAATAAGCCATTTAAAACAGTTTTCTACTTTGCATGCTGAAAAGAGGGGGAAAATATTTTGTGGATTATTATAATATTGGGATAATGGTTGAGAAAATGTAATATATTTTATCAGGATCAGGAGTAACACTTTGGAAAACAATTACTCTGTAGTTTCCAGGAGGAACAAAAACCAAAGAATTTCTTCCGAAGCTAATTTAGGGCTTGTTTGCCCTCTGCTTTAGGTAAACCAAACAACTATTGCTTGCTCTGTTTTTATTCTGTGTCTGGATGCTGGCACACTGCTGGACCATATGCAGCTGAATGCCAGAAGACAGGAACTATGGAGAGAGTGCACACTTTTTTTGGACAACTTGGAAATCTGACATGTGTCTAATGTTGTAAGATCTGCTCCCTGCAGCTCTGAAGACAGAGGAGCGTCAGATCCGGGTTCAGGAAAAATGCAGACTGAGATGCAATTCTATTTTGGAAAAAGTAGTACATGAAAGAGCCAGCCAGAATTTGACTCCGAAGAGATTAAGATTTAAACGTTGCATGCATGTTCAGATTTTGTTAGCAGGAAGCATAGTAGAAATTAACAATGCATGCATGATTAATGTGCTGTTTTTACAGGTTAATTCTTGGGTACAAATGTAAATGCCAGTGTACTGCCCTGTAAACTACATTGTTCTGCTGAAAAATGTAGAAGTTGAAAAAGTGCTGCACAAGAGTGTGCAGAGGCTGGAGGTGTGGTCTACAGAGTAAACACTGAGTTGAACTTAGTCATGCTTGGGTACTTGACATACAGTTTGAAAGTACGATGATGCCGTTTTCTGGAGGCATATAAGATCCAGAGCTGTTTGGGGCTCTATGGAAGGCTTTCAATTGAATATCATGGTCTTTTGACCAGGTGCTTCTCCGAGGACATGCACAAATTTTTCTGTCTCTCCATTGTCTTCAAAGTGGATTAATTACTGTCTAAGAACAAGGCCAGTGTTCTGTTATTTTTAGGCTTCATAGTAAATTAAGGGGTTGAAATGCATATAAATTCTAAATGTTTTTGTTCTCAGTGGGTCAAACTGAAAAATTGTGAAAGGATGCATACAAGTGTGGGACTGGGGCAAAAGTGGGATCTATAATGGTACACTGTGATCTGATCCCATAAATGAGGCTTTGAAATATGTAACTTGCAAGTCCAGCTACGGTTAGATTGGATCCTTCAATAGCCTGTGAAATGTCGGTTCTCTCTTCTGTCATCGTTTGCCCCATCTAAGGGACCTTGGTGCTCCCTTGGCAGTAAATTTTAAGATTCTACTTTACACTTTTTTGTAAAGGAAAACTTAGTCTAAATTATCCTTGTATAAATTGGAATTCATCTGATCCTTCTCTAACGTTTACAAATTTCCATTGGATAAGGCATTCTGATGCAGGTTTGTGACATACTCTTTATTAACATATATATTATTTATCTTGTATATGATATAATCCCATGCAATGATAGGTGAAGATTCCTGACTTGTCTTGATAGCCAGGAATTAAGAGCACTCCTATTGATGTAAATGTATGTATGTATGTATTAGATAAAATGACAATTTTGGAGAGCTATGTCTGAAAACAACATGAATTGAGGTCAGGTTCTGCTTTAGACAGTCATGCAGACATGGCCCTTTGCATTACCTTTGAATAATGCTGTAAGCAACAGCAGCAATTTTTGTGTGCAATTACAACTGTGACTTCCTTTGAAAACCATTTCTGTCTTAGCTTGTCTTTCATCTTTCTAGACAGGGATCTTTTAGTAAGATTTTTCTGCCGTGGAGAATAGGGGCTATTTATTAGAGTGGTTTATTATCACAGTTTTCCTCAGTTCATATCAAATTCATCTGGCTGATGGCGAGAACTGTGTTTTGACAGATTCCATAACTGAAAAACAATTTATTTTGAGCTTTTTATTTATTTGTGCTGCTAATGTCAATGGCAGATTTTAACAAGTATTTAACAAAAACTTCCAAGTATTTTATGATTTTGTTTCAGTTTACCTGTTTCCGCTGTTGTCTCAAAATGTTATGTCAACGAGTAAGTGTTGTAGTATTGTATTAATTTTTTAATTAAAATCCCTTTTGGCATTGCTGTTTTGCACTGGGAGCATCTGCTATAAACTTTATTCTTTGAGTCTCTGTGAAAGATTTGTATAAACTTATGTGCTTTTTTAGAGAGTAAATTTCAGTCCTGTTACAGGTGCCAGCTGTTACTGTAATCCTGAGAGATGTGATTTAAAGAACTTTACAGAATAAGGTGAGAGAGGGGAAAAGAACTTCCACTCTCTTGGTAGGAGGGAAGTGGTAAATGTTTCAGAATAGGTATATGTGGCTACGGTTAGGTTAAATATAAACCGAACTACTAAAGACAGCTCTCGTACTGTCCTTAATAGTAACTGTATTATTACTGCATTTTTGACACCATAGTTTTCTCGGAGCTAGGTAATCTTGTGAGAAGTCTTAGCTGCAGGGAGTGGAAAAACCTGTATTGACATAAGCAGAACTAAGACTTTGCCCATGTTTGGGTTTTTTTTTAATCGGTCAGAGCTTCATCTTTGATTTATCGAACAAAACAAATTGTTCTATTGAATCACGTCAGTTGTCAGTAGCCTGTAGTAGCCTGTCTCTTGTGGTGACTCATATCATGTGTTTCTGAGTGTGTGGCTGTAGCTGAGTACTTCAAACCTGTGAAAGCTAGCACTGATGTGGAAAGAACATCCCTGCTATCCTCTCAGCTTGCCTGTTTATTCCATCTTATAGTAACAGAATTGCATGGTGAATCTGATCAGAAAAGTTTCTGCCTTATGATTTTACTGGAGAACAGAAGAGATAACCACACTCATTTCCCTAACTGAGAATATTTCTCAAAAGTGTGCGTTCTTTGAGGAAAAATGCTTCCTCAAAAAAGTTTCTTTCTAATGTCTTAGTTATGAACCACTTATTTCTTTGATCAAATTAAAGAGGAACTTACTTTATTCTCAGCTGTCAGGAGCTAAGCCTTAAACTTATGATGAGATAATGCCAGGAACTGGCATGTGGATGAAGACAGGAGCTTGAAAGGACACATTCAACTGAACAGAGACTCTGAAAATTTGAATGGACCAGGAAAATGTGTCAAATGTGTGGTCTTGCTCAACTGAAATCAGAGTATAAACAAGGAAAACAGTGAGTAGAAGGGAGTGAATCCCCTCGGTAACTGTAACAGTGCATCTGCTACAGAATTCCCATTATTAGAGGCAGGAAGGGGGCAGGATAAATAGCAAGATTTCTTCCTAGGAGAGTTTTATCACTTTTGGAGGGGAGGATTTCAGAGGATGGCAGATGCATTCATTTCTAGGTATGGTTTTAAGCTTTAGAAAGTGGTGCTGGGCTGTAACGCTTTGTGCTGAATAGACCGGGAACTGTGCTTTTGTTGAGGAGACTTGATGCTCTTATGGACTAACACAGTTCTCTGCAGGCATTATATAATCTGTAGATGATGAACAACTAAACAGAGAACTAGCTGTTCCCCTGTAGTGTTGACAAAGTTTTCATAAGACATTTGTGGTATTGAGTGAGGGGGGCATTTAGGTGCAGATGAGATGTCTATTTGAAGTTTCATAGTTTCATTCTGTTTTCAAGTAGACTTTGATTGTTCCCAAAACAAGGATAACAGGTGGTAGCAGAGAAGATGGTGTGTCTCAATCTGGGACTGTGTGCTTAGAACATCCTTAGCCAAATTCTCAGTGAAAGCCAAGCTTCAAGTTAGCTGTTTCAGACCTTGGGTTATGGTTAGCATTTTGGGGAGTGCTGCCTAGTCTTTACACACTGAGTTTATGTAAAAATGTTTGTAGATCAACTAAATCTGCAAGTTACTGGTTCTCCGTCAAGAAGAAAAAAAATCTGTCCCTTGCTGAAGCTAGTTTGCTCTGGTATGATCTGTTTGGAGGGAATGGTAGCAGTGGTAAGGATTTAGAAGGGAGCATGCCCTAAATGTAAGCGAGATTATGGAGGGAAGGCTGAACAAATGTTTGAAAGCTGATGACATGAGCAAAGCAGAGGTGGGGTGTTGAAAAGCACGCATAAATAGGTGTGTCCAGGGTTCAACTGTGCAAGGCTTGGTTATGAAGCGCAGATAGATGGAAGTCCTTTGCTTAGCTTTGCTGAAAAAGTTGTTGAGCTGAGAGTATGCATCGTAAAACCATGTAATAAAACAATTAAATGTTTTTGTTTTTTCTAAGATGGTAACGGCAACTCAGAGATGAGAAAAGTTCAAATTGAGGCACGAGAGGAAAGATTTTTTTGTTAGAAGATAGCAGTTAAAAAATAGTGAATATCAGCCTGTTCCAAGGAATAATGGGAGGCAGCCTTGCTCAATGTGTCTCATGATTGGCAAGCCAGCAGAGACATGCGATGTCCCTACATCAAGGGGGTAAGTATAAAAATTCTCAGCTTGGCAGTGGGTTAGTCCTGTCCATATGCTGGTTACACAATTAGCTAATATGTAACGATTGTATATACTATTTGCACAGGCACTGAGTATGGTAGAAGCTGTTAAAACAAGTGACCCAGTAGAGGGGAAGGGACACCTGGGAGATGAGAGAAATATGCAAAGAGCATTGAAGATGAGGACTAAATTATTACTGCCCAGGGAAAAAAAAGGGGTAAGTGAAAGGATTTAGTGGAGCTGGTGACTTAAATGGTATAGGAAGATAGTCATGGCAAACCATATTTTTATGTAGATTATGGATAATTGAATGTTACAAAAGTTCAGAAAGTTTAGAAACTATTTAGAGAGCAGTGTTGGGAATGGGACAGCATCTAAATGCCCAGCGCAAAAGGCTGGGAAGAGCAAAAGCTGCCCTTTCGGTGCTCATCCGAGTGGAAGTTGTGGAATGGAGCAGGAGCTCCACTGTGGTGAGGAGACAGAGCATTGGGAGCACAGTCCAGTTGTGTGAAACTTACCTGTTGAGAACAGGCAGAGGCTTTCCTAAAACAGCAGAAAGAGGAGAGGATTAGAATAATTTCTCTCTGCATCCTGGTTAGCAGCTCGTGTTGGTTTTAAGGTTTTCAAAGCTACAGATTTTCAAAGCAAGTTCTCTTTTATTTTGTAGACGAATTCTGATTAACAGCAGTGTTCTAAAGCTTA